CATTTTAGAAGAAACATCCCCCTCTCAAGAGTGCTCCGCCCCTTGTAGCTCTGGGGGGTTTGTCCGAGATAAACAGAAAAGCCAAGAGAAAGCCGGCCTGTGGTATGAGCCCAAGTCAACACCACATGAATCAAACTGAATTCTGCTCGCAAGTGCCATGGGCCAGGCCTTCCCAGAAAGACCAAAGATGGAGGACGTGCTGGAGGCAGACTCACACCCCCGGGAACCAGGGGTGGTTTAACAAAATAAACTCTGAAGTTGACCCTCCCAGTCACTTAGGTGGCCAGACAGTATGGAAACAGAGCCCAAGAGCAAGAGTTGTAGCACATTTGGAAGTTTTGATGGGTGTGCAGAAATCCATCTGTCCCCAGTGCCTGGCAAATGATAAATACAAGTGGGTGGATGGACACGAGGCCATGACTGAGGTCAGCCATCTTTGAGGTAGGGTATTCAATAGCGCAAGTACACTACAAGAGTTTTTGTAAGGAAATAATCATCCATGTTCGGAAACTGCAGACCTTTTATAATTCTAAATTCTTTAAAATTGGTCTTAGAACCGTGGTGGGCAGAACCTGAATATAGGAGAGAAAATAAAGGAAAATTCCATCTTGATACCAGAGAGCCAGGCAGAAGAAAATAAAAGGACATGGGCTCATGAAGAGAAAGGATCTGAGCGGTATGAATAGCATCTTCCTTATAAGAGGAAAGACCCGGCTAAAAGGGGACCCAATAATTAAAGATAATAGAGAGGACACACAGCAGGCGCTATCCTTGCAGGGCAGAGATCATTACTCAGGGGAACTGGAGCCTAAAAAAAAGACATGTGACCGCCCCCCTCCTGCATTCTCAGGCCAGAGCTCCATAACCACCCAAACACCAAACTTTGGTGCTATTGATGCATCTTACATAAAAAGGTGTAGCATTTGCAAGGAACTTACAGCATTTGAGCTTGGGGGGATGAGGGCTTCTGAATTAGATAGAGATGAGTTAGTCTATAATATGGATTCCCCCCACTGGAACAGGGCAGTGACATCCTTGTCCTGGGGACCTTTCCTCCGTGTTCATCTCCTTCACACCCCTGTTCTTTGCCTACTGCTCATCTTTTATTAGTCCTTGTCCTCTGTGCATCCTCTCAGAACCTGGCTCCCAAAACACAGTAGAGCAACCCAAACCCACCCCATTCTCTCTGTCCCAAACACCTGGTCGAGGTCAGCTTCAATTGGAGGCTGCTGCAGCCCCATCATGGGAAACACAAGGTCTGAATGGTTCCCCAGCTGGCTGCCTCTAACCAGGGGGTTACAGCAGATGGATTCCTCTCTGTGACCAATTATTTTCCATGGCCCTTGGCCATGTGACCTCAGACCATGATCTTGTCAATTCTTATAAACTAACCAGGAGTGGAACGAACCATGCGCAGAGAGGAAACCTCTGCAGGGAACCGGAAGGGGCGTGGGAGAAAGGAAATGGAGCTGGGGACCCAAAGGCCATGAGAGCTTCACTGCCCCCCTCCACTTCCCCCCACCTCTGGGCAGCTTTGAACCTTACAGGAAGGGAAAGAAAAGGAGACAGTAGCTTTGGGAGGCAGGCTGGTCTGCAGGCAGGCTACTCTTTTTAATAAGATCTTAGCCCAAGACGCTAATTGTCTGCAATACTACCTACCAACTTGGAGAAATTGTCTTCTTCCGCCATTCATTGACCTCTTAGCCGTTAATACCCAAGTATTCTGAGGAGCCTTAATACATGATAGCAAGAAAAGCTTTGAGGACAGCCAGCACAGGCTCACAGGCACGTGTATCCACACCTACTACCAGCTATGGAAATTCTCTGAGGAATGACAGACACACATCGGGGCAGGGCACCCTTGGCCCTTGATGTGGTATGGACGGTGAAGATGCGTTAGGAATGCTACGCAGTATATTTACAGTACACTAAACACATTGATTAAAACTGGAAATGAAGTGCCAAAAAAATTTTCATAGCCTCCAATATCCTGAATTTGAGCGTTGTATAAATAAAACCCTGAGCTTCTCTGTCTAACATATATATATATATATTCTTTTACTTTAAACAATCTTTGAATTTCAAAATTTTGTGTCTCCGTAGTTTTGACTCATGAGTTACCCTGAGATCCCTGACAAGTTAATATATTGTCAGAGAGAGGTTTTTCTGAATAAAAAATGCACGCGTAAACAAATCCCTTAACTATGTGTATGTTCTAATTATCTTCTGGGCATTCACTTGATTCATTCTGGGGAGTGAAGTCTATGTGTGTGTGTCCCCAAGTAAAGCACACGTATTTTTGCATACACAAAAACTGGGGAGCGCTGCTTGCTATTTTAAGAGCCTGAACTCTAACTTTCAACAAAGTTTAGCTGCTTTCCTTTTGCAAATGCATTTAATTTTATCTGGAAACTTTCTGACATTAGAAATAGAACAACTGTAGTTTCTCATTACGCCTGCTGCCAGAATCCATGCTTGGTTGCTCAACTAAAGACCTTATATTGCTAATTGCTACCACATGCCCATATCCCAAGCGAAAGAAAACTTATTGATTCTGACAGCCCATTCTCTCAACACTGAATTCCAAATGAAAACTCAAATTTTGGCCAAACATAACATTTCATCAATCTTGTTCTGCTGACTAGAAAAACAACATCAAACAAAGGGTGCTAATGGCCCTTTATTACCATTCCTTTCCCAAGCTTATATTTTCTGATGAAAGATCTAAGTGACCAAAGGGCTTCTTTAAACTACTTAGTAATTAGCTTTTGAACCAGGAAACAATGCGTAAAGTAAAGTGAACAGTCCCGGTGTGGATCACAGGGCTGGCTTTCTGTCCGCAGGGTCGGAGGACATTGGAGACCCAAAGAGAACATTAAAAGCAAAGCACGGTTTCATAAAGGAAGAAGAAAAAAGAGAGAGAGCGCACACACAAGAAACCAGGCTAAAAGTGGTGATAAAAGACTACAGAGGCAGAACAAAACTGCAGGAAGTCTGTGATTTGAAGTTATCAGCAGGTGGGGTTGAGGTGGGGGGCAGTGGTCCCAGGGCCACCCAGCAACACAATCTGCCAGCCACCAGCCCACCCACACTGGACCAGGGACACTGTTTTGGGGGTAAAAAATTTCAACCTGGAATAAGAGGCAAGAAATATTTTCAATGTGGGCTTCAGAGTAATAGATTTTGTGGACTTCCTCAGGGGCACAGTAAGGAGATGCTGGCAGAGGGAGCAGGGCAGGAAGGCCAGAAAGAGACCCTGGGCCCTTGCAGTACCACCTGCGTGAGGGTCCACTGGTCCACATCTTAAACCAAGTCGAGAAGCTGTTTTCCTCTTGGCATGGGATAAATGACCAAGGGGAATGTCAGGACTTATTTGGCCTTTTGGAACCAGCCAATGGCCCAGCAATTCGAACAGCTTGGTTCCAAACACATCCAGGGCTGTTAAGATAATGGGGAGAGGAGGGGTGAATTAGCAGGAAGACAGGAAGATGTGATGCCTCCGCGGCAGAGGCGCCAACTGGCCTCTTCTCTAAAGCCCGCTGTCCTCTGGGCCTTCGAAAGGCAACTGGTGTCCTGTGGCTAGTTCAAGAAAATGAGCGCTTTATCCCACCTCCTCATTTTCTGAGCAGAGGACTGGACACCTGAGCTCAGGATGCCTTGGAATTGCTGACCAGAGGGGCGGGGAGCCCACTCCACCCAGCACAGCCACCTGTCAAGACGAGAGAGGTGCACGGGAGGGAAATGCAATGCCACCAGATGGGTTTTATTTTTCTCGAAAGTGCAAAATGAGCTCATCACTTGAAGATAAATTAGAAGGAGACTATCTGAGCAGTTCCATGACAGGCATCTCCCTAGCCAGGAAGGAGCGTGAACCATGGCAATTTTCCAAATCTTGATCTGGATGCCGCGATGGCAGGGACCGGGGCGCATGCAGGTGCCAAATGCTCGAGCTACGTGCATAAGAGCAGTACATTCCACTCCGTGGAGGTGAGAGCTCAAAGCTGAGCACCCCCAAAAAAGCTTTAAAAATATACATGAGGGACAGTCACTGCCCGCTCCACCTCCCTCCCACATTGCTCTCCTGAAATCTTGCCCTGGCAGAAGATCGGGAAGGGACAGCCCCTACTTGAGTGAAAGTACAACTCCCAGTTGATAGTGGCCCCATCCATTGCTACTGATATTGATAAAGCCATGAGCGCCCGCAGAACTAATTCCTGAGAAGAAAGCATTCATTTTGGGGAAGCCAAATAAAAGACCCATCGGGAAGAGCCTGCAGTGTCCTGACACGATAAATTCCATATTTTCCTCCCAGAAAGGATCTCAGCTAAGTGACAAGACCCCAGGAGACATGATCTGGAGCTTCTGTCTGCAGGAAACTGGTCCCCCAATGACCACAGGGCCTTCACGGTAAGCAGGATTATCTGGACCCCCTGCTAGTTTTGCCTGATGTTATTGCTGCATAAAACCCATCACAGGATGACAGTATTTCACTTAGAGGGACCCAGATTAAATGATATAACCAGTGGACATAAAGATTAGGTGAGCTTGGGTCGTGTGTTAGAGGAAAAACAACCAAAGGAAACTACAGTGCCAGTTATATTACGCAGTCCTTCGAGATAAACCCCCAAGGTCACTCGGGCAACATGAATGGCAGCAAGATCTAGGGACGGGGCTGAGTGTGACACCCTTCGGGGGTTCCTCTGACATCGCACCTTGTGTCCCTGGGTGAGGGAGAGGAGCAGGAGTCAATGCCACCTCCCGGGGACTTTGCAAAGTCACTCAACCACACCTCGTCTGGTACCACTGACTTACTTTCTGCCTCCATGTTTGTTAAAAGTCCCGCCGAATTTATTCCGATTCAGGATGAGAGCCGCAATTTCGGGCACGTAGCGGGCAAACATTGCCTACATGCATGAGACAAAGAAACAAGAGCCAAAAGAAAAAAAAAATGGCATGCAGAGAGGATTGTACCGCCGGGAGGCAGTAGTTGGCATACTTACTTTCTTCCACTAACAGCACTATAGGAGCCCCCGTATTTCTTGCGGTTTCCTATTAACTCTATGATTTCAGGGACGTAGCTGGCAAACATGGCCTGAGGAAAAGAGGGGAGACAGAAGAGAGACTAAAAAGACAGGCCCAAGAAAGGGGGTGACCTTTTCAGAAGGGATGCTAAGATCTGAAAACACAAAAGGATTAGACCTGTGAAGGTATCTATTCATATGTTGGATTATAAAAAACATAAAAGGACAAAAAGGGGCAAGTTCTTGAAAATACACAGGATAAAATAAACACCAGCCACCCAGGACCACAAGGGGTGGGCATGGAAAAAGAAAAAACGTCTCTCAACGGGGGAATCAATGCCTTTATGACTGACTCAAAACATATACATTAAAAGATTTTAAAAAATAAACTCATTTTTTTAAAAAAAAATCACTAAAAAGCATGGAAGGTAAATGTAGGAAATCACACAAAAGGAAAGACAGTGAGAAAAACACGAATCTGCCATGTTTTGTCCAACAAACATTACCCTGTGGCTGGATGGACAGGGTCTCCTGATCTACGGGGTCTCCTGATCTACGGGGTCTCCTGATCTAAGGGGCCACGCGGGCTCTGGAAATGCTTCCGTGCATGCGCACACACACATTTAAGCACTTTCTTTGAAATGCAGATAGCCTGTGCATACAAAGCAGAGAGGTGTGTATGCATCCTTCGTGTAAATGTGTGTGCGCTGTACATACACGAAAGCTGGGGGCAAATCAGGACTTTCATCACTTACCTCTAACACAGCCAAAATTAAACTTCAAATGAGCTACTTTGAACCGTCAATGAGTTGCCAGAAATGCCTTTGAATTAATCATAGTAGACGGTTTAGTGCTGCAGAAGGAGCTGCAGGATCAGTCGGGCCCATGGCGAAACTTTCTGGCTCATAAAGGGGAGGGGAAACATCCCGCATGTCACTACAGACAAGAGGGGCGACTGACAAGTCCCACTTTGCTCTTGGTGACGAACTCAAGACCAAAGCGTCTCCATCCTCTGACTTGGGGACTCTTCTCCTTAGGGTGGGTGCCAGTCACAGTGTTTGTTGGAAATTTAGGGGTTGGGGGGGCTTAAAGGGAAAAGCGAGTTCTTTGAAACCGCAAACTGTCAACAGAATATTGACAACATCTACTGGGGTCAGGTGACAGTAACTGTCCTTGTGGAATAGTATCAGATGTTGGATTCTATTACTAATGGACAAGCACCCTCCGTTATTAATGGCATCCCTTCTTAAGATAATTAGGCCGGCTCCTGGCCAACTGGCTGTCCCCAACAAAGGTCATATACCTGGGTCCACAAATCAAGCGTAACACACCAAAGAAATGTACAAAGACGTCACCGTCCTATTCCGGCTTACTTAAACTGACTGCAGACCTAAAGCAGTCACTTGCTTCTGGGGCGGACACACAGTATAAAAATTCAAACCTTAAGAAAGCAGATTGAAAACACTAAAGACCATAAAAGCAAACATGATAATAAAAAGATTTTACCAGTCCCCCGAGGATGAAGAAGACCATGAAGAGGCGTCCAAGCGTGGTTTTTGCATAAACATCCCCATAGCCGACGGTGGACATCGTGACCATGAGTAAGTAGACACATTCCCAGTATGTAAGAGCCTGGTTGTTTTGGAAGTTTTCCCATGGGTCCCCTGAATTCTCCACCTAGAGCAAGAGAGGAGGGGAGAGAAAAAGAAAACTTTTACTTCTGCATAGACACACAGCGAACACGAAGGAGCCAGAAAGCCCCGCGCTCTGCAGGCTGCTTGCTGAAGCTCGTCCTCCGGCTGCAAGCTGTGGGTTTCCCTGGGCTGCTTCTGTGCACCGTGGCTGAGCGCTCTGAATAGGTGCAGAGGAGAGAAGGTGAAGCAAGAGGAAATGCCCTCCTGGGGGACCAGGGCAGAGAGAGAAAGGAACAGGAGTGGGGAGACATCTTTATTTTGTTTTTCTTCTTCATCAACTTCAAAGTTCAGAGGCCGCAGAAACTAGGCATTGTCTCTAGAACCATTTTACAGCTTTCTCCTAGAGGACAGAGCCCGAGAGCCCTTCCCTGGCCTTTCCCTATGGGTTCCTGCTAGGTCTGGGGCCTGGCTGCCCATCACCTGCATAGAGGAACCTCTGTGCATCACTGTGACCAAGGGCAGTCTGGTGGGTGCTGCTCCCGCAGCTCTGCGGAACCTAAAACAGCACCTCTGAGTCTGACCCTGTCCTGCCCTCACTTCTGAAAGGCCCACAGTGATTCTGCTCTTGGACCTGCAGAGATTTCTCCAGGAGCCGAAGGCGCTCGCTCATGGGAACAAACTGCACTAGCACGACCCTGTAGAGAGCCAAGGGCCTGTGCACTTTTTCTGCGAAGGGCCAGAGAGTGAAGTGTCTGCTTGGTGGGCCACAGTATGGCACCTGCCCAGCTCTGCAGTTGCAATGGGAAATCAGCAGCATGAGGTTCTTCAGGCATGAATGGGGCAGGATCTCGGGAGCTAGGGCTGGGCAGAGTTTGTCCGTAGCCGTGTTAGGCTTCACAGAACCTTTTCCTGTCTTCCAGGGATATGCGGCCTGCCCACAGGGCCAGAGACAGACGTACTTTAGACCTCCCAGCAGAGAGGGCAGCCAGACCCTTTCCCAGCTCCCCGGAGTTGATACTTGTGGTCCCCACTTAGCCTATGGGGACAACCTGTCCCTAAGCCCCCAGCTCTGCTTCTGCAGAAGGTGCCCAGGCCCTGGCTTCCTCCAGACATCAAAATGTACCCTCCAAGTACCCTACCCATGGAGGTTTCCTGGTGCAACCGTGGGTCCTCCACAGAGTAGTAAAGAGGGGTTACTGTCTTACTGACCACAGCAATCTCCTTCACATTTGCGGTTAGAACCACTGGGTGCTTGGTGAATAAAGGTGGGAAGGCTGAGTCTGTCCAAGAGTGTCATCGCCATAAAGATTCGGATGGGCTCCCTCAGGTCTGATGACTGGCAACACCTTCCTCTCCCATCCCAGGCTGGACTCTCCGGGTGACAACTACAGAGTCCCAAATAGAGTCCCGGGAGAGCACCCTTTTATGCAAATAGAGGCTCAAGGCAAAAGGGTCACCTTTATTCAAAGTCACAGGGTTTGATGAGGCTCTTTCCAACAGCCTGTGTTTGTAGGAAATGCACTTCAACAATAGCTATTGCCTCTAAAAGCAGGGTGGAAAAAAAATCTGCCTTGGGGAGGTGAGAAGAACTTGACTTAATAATAGAAGGCTTTCAAAGAGTCATTAATATAAAAGAATTAACATTTTTAAAGTACGAAATAACTTGACAAGTAATCAAGGGAAAGAATCAAAGGCAGCTTTTGTAAGGGTGGGGAGAAAACATTGAGGGATAGGAATTAGTTGTTTACAGAGATGTGGGTCAAACTTCCAACCTTGTTGCCTGACCTTTTGCAGGCGTTTGCTGTGGAAGCACTGCCATCTTGTGGCTTGCTGGGGTTATTGCAGACAGGATGAAAAGCTACAAAAAGTCCCCGCTGCAGTACACAAGTTATAGTGGCAACATTACTCACCATTTGGAAGTAGTTTGGGGTAAAAGGGCTAGAAATCCAGACAATTGTGCGGCTGCTTCCCTCCTTTCCTGTCTACAACTACGCTGAAGTTTCTCTGTAGCGAGAGAAATTTCGCGTAATAAAAGGACTCAACAAGGGGCTTGCTCCAGGCCAGCTGGAACGGAGGGTCTTCAAAGATACTCACCAAATGAATGAAGCCGGCCGCAGTCAGCCACGTGCTGATAAATATGGAGAGCAGATTCACCAGCTTGATGGAATTACTGCTCAAAAGAGACAACAAGCAAAGGTCGCAAGTTACAAAGAGTGGGAGTCGCCTGCCCGCGGAACAGCGCCCCCTGTGGGTAAGAGGCCGCCAAAGCCATGGTAAGGTTACCAATGCTCAGAACGGGGCTCAAATTCACAGGCTGCAAGGTCACAGCGCAGCCTGCGCTTAGACTATGGCTGAATTTTGTTAAAATTTACAGGCCAGACATGGTGGTGCATACGTGTAATTCTATTACTTGGGAGACCGAGGTAGAGGGATCACTGAGAGTTCGAGACCAGCCTGGGCTGTAAAGTGAGCTCAAGGCCACCCTGAACTGGGTAGTAAGATCCTGTCTCAAAAAGACAAAAAAAAAAAAAAAAAAAAAAAAAAAAAAAAAAAAAAAAAAAAAAAAAAAAAAAAAAAACAGAAAAAGATAAAAGCCTTTTATTTTCAAAACTTCAGATCTACAGATAAATGCAAAGAAAAGTATAATAAACCCTTGTTATCCAATCATAATATTTTTCTAAAATGACCTAACAACCAGTTATAACATTATGCTACATCTGCTGTATCACTATATAGTGTTTTCTCTTTTTTCTGTCTTCTTTTGTTTTACATTCTTTATTTTTTGATGGAACATCTACGTATAAGTTGTAGACACCACCTCACCACTTCTAAATATTTCAACATCCAACTCTTATCACCATTAGTCAATGCAGTCACAAGGCCACTGTCACAGCCGAGAAAATTAGTGCCCATTCAGTAACATGTTCTAACTTGCAGTCCTTACATGAAGGACTCCATTCGCCCTGATTCTGTTTCCAGCCACCTTCCTCACCTAGGAAGGTTCACTTATTGCATCTGGCTGTGAGGTGGCTTTAAACCAGGGGTCAGTTAGCCCAATATTTTAGGCTTTGAGAGCCATAAGAATCTATGTTGCAACTACTGAATTCCACTACTGTAATTCAAAAGCAGCTGTAGGCAATATATAACAGAATGGGTGTGTCTGTGTTACAATAAAACCTAATGAAAACAGACATCGGTTTAGCATAGTGGTGTCTCTAATTCCAGCACTCTGGGAGGCTGAGGCAGGAAGATCTCAAGTTTGAGGCCAGCCTGGGCAACTCAGTGAGGGAAATATTGTCTCAAAAATGAAATGGGGGCTGGGAAGTTAGCTCAGCTGCACAAGCATTTGCCTGGCACATGTGAGGCTGTGAGTTCAATTCCTGGGACAAAAAAAATGAAGTGAGTTAGGGTACAGCTCGCTGTCAAAGCTCTGGGCTCAATCTCAAGTACAAAAAAACCACAGCAGACTGAGTGTGTATGTGCTAAACATGAACTCAGTGTGTCATCTCAGCCACCTTTGGGTCCTATCCCTCTGCCAGAGCTGTGACTCAACTAGAAAGCTCTTCCATTTAGCTATGAAGGTCCTATCAGAGGCACCTCCTGGAAACTTCCTCTGGAATTGGGTGTCAAAATTATAAACCAAGCACTCTTGTAGATCCTCTGCCCTAGAGAAAGGCTGGCTGAGAGTAAGACCCAAGACAGGTAGAGAAAGAGGCAGAACTGAACCCCCAAACTCAGTGGTGGCTGATATCTCCAACCCTGGCGTTACTAAGGTGGATTCTGTTCTTTGCAGTGAAACCCCATCTGCACACAATAGAAGTGGCTGATATCCAAAATGCTCCCTGATAGTATGACAACTGGCCAGGTCTCCAAAGGAGGCCAGGGGCTGTCTCCATCAGGCAGAAGAGGGCAGAAGCCCTGCACTACTGACTCGGGCCTGGTGCTGCTGTTTGGTGCCTGGCTCCAGAGGCTCTGGTCTGAAGCTGGCAGTCCCAGGACCAAGCACAGATCTGCTAGGTCCTAGTCTTCAGTCCTTTTCCCAGACACCTCCATGGGCCAGGCCATGCCCCATCCTCACTGCTAAGTGGTTTCTGTACCTACGAATGGAGTGAACAACTACCAAAAATAATACTTAGCACCTTTCACCCCAGCTTCTCCTTGGAGCTGAGAGACAATGTCACCCTTGCCTTTCTGCTCCCTAGATCAAACTGGCCAGCCCAGGGCCCTCCTCGCTGGCTCCCAGAATCTCGTTTCTCTGCAAAAACCACCCTGGCAACCAGAGATGGGCAGCATGAAAGTAAGCAAAACAGATATAAGAAAGTCACCCAAGGAGCCCTGTCAGGAGCAATCCTGGTGATCAGGAAGCTGATTCATTCCAGTAAGTGTCTCAAAAGAAGACCAAAGCTGAGCTGGCAAGACCTGGGGGTGTGCCCTAATGTTACAAAGTAAGAAATCGATGAAGACTTAGTAGCCAGTGGCAGAGGGAGAGCTCTTAGGAAGGCTGTTCATCTTCTCAGGGCAGAGTTAAGCCCTGAGTGGATTCACTTTCTAGCTCAGGAATCCTTGGAGCCAGAACCAGGAGTGTACCCCCAAGAGCCAGTGGAATCCTTCCAAGATACTGAGCCCACGGTGTCTCTGAGCCTCTCAGCATTTTAGATAAATGACCTAAATATGGTGATTAGTAATCTCTAAGTGATTGTCACTGTGATATTAATGGTGCTTAAGGGAGTTCTTGCTACATGTAGAACATTTAATCAGTGTCGCTAACAGTCCATGTTCAGAGCTGAGATGTGATTATTTTTATGATATCAGCATTATCACAGATCCCCAGCACCAGGAATTGACTTTCCACATTAAACTCTCTGACCAAGCAATCATCTGAAAGCTATGCGCACAGAACTGGGGTCACCCTTGGTGGACCTTCCCCATCTTCTGAAATGTGGGTCTTGCCAGCTTGAGGAGGACTCCTTAGAAGGAGGGATGGGTTGCCAGGAGCAAGATGAGTGCTCTTATGACCAAAGAGCATCCTGGGGCTACTAGGAGCCTTTAAGACTAAGCTCAAGGGTCTGGACCCAGCCAAAAGTTCTCAGTGGTTGGACCACTGGAATCATTCAGATTCTAGTCCTCTTCTATGGCTTGAAGAAGGGAAGGATTGTGATCTTATGATAAAAACCTGATGAAACTAAAAAAATCTCTCTCTCATGTTTCCTGGCAAGCTCTGATTCCCATTGCAGGAGTTCTTACTGGCTATTACAGTAACTCAGATCACTGGACACAGAGAATCATCCAAAGGCAGATACAGCAATCTGCTAGGTCAGAGAATCTGACTCCAAGAGACCGTAGCAGTAAACCCAGAGCTTCTAGGAGCCAGATTCGCACTGTTTTTGCATCTTGTCTATTTACCAGGATGTATTTCTGATAACGTTGAAAATGGCATCTACTTTACACCCGAAAAACAAATTAGTCCCTGTCTCTAATCTTCCTCTTTAGTTCTGGCTAAAGGTACAGCCAGGCGCCAGTGGGTTTATTTTGTTTTATTGCTATGTTTGTGGGAGAGAGCTAAAATATCCCAGCCCTGGAGTGAACCAGACCATCGCACACTGAGGAAGGTCTCACCTATACGACACGAGGTGGAGCGACATCCAGGACTGTTCACTCTGTCTTTCAGTTATCTCTAGAACCCCTCTCCTTTACTCCATCCCCAAGCCTGCACCACCCAGACCTTCCTCAAGACCTTTTGCCCAGACTAATGCCACCTTCCTGGTCTGTTACAGTTTATATCTAGAGGTCCCCCCAAGCCTCATGTGCACATAAGTGGAGCTTTTGGAGGAGGCTGGATCTAGGGTGTGTGAAGCTGGGATTAAGGCTTCCCACCGTGTGAGTGCTCCCACCTGAGGGCTGGTAGCCTGGGTGGAATATAAGGTACAGCACGAGGGCTGATGCTGAGCTCACCGCCTGCTGTTTTGCTGATTTCTCTCTGCCCGGCCATGCCATGGACTGTTTCTCCTCTGCCATCTCCCTCTCCCATGCCACCATGCCTTGGACCCAGGCAGCTATGGACTAAAACATCCACAAACTGGAAGCCAAGATAAACCTTGCCTCCTTTAACCTTGGGTTTGGGTGTTTTGTCTCAGCAACTAGAAAAATGACTAAGACAAATGTGCAGTTTTGGGCTGGAGATTTAGCTCAGCGGCACAAGCGCCTGCCTTGCAAGCAGGCAGTCATGAGTTCGATTCCCGGTACGGATAAAAAGGAAAAAGACAAAAAAAAAAAAAATGTGCAGTTTTATGGAGTTGCTGCTTACTTTGCCCTGGTTATAGAACAGGCAGCCCAGCCCAGTTTGTAGGGTAACTTATGAACTTGCTAAAGCTGACAACAGAGTCTCTCGGTGACCCCTCAGTAGGCCACTTTCAGAATATGGAGTATGTTTGGCTGCAGTTTCGAGAAGCTGCCCTGATCCCCTAAGGGTGACTTGTCTCCACTGTTCTAGGCATTTTGGTTCCTCTTCCACTGTCCTCTTCCTTCGTGGTCACTTCCCATCTTTCCCTGACCTCTCTATCCTGTTTCTTCCAGCTCTTGGCTGAATGAGGAAGCCAAGAGCAGAAAATGAAACAGTAATTTCAAATCACATTTGCAAATCCTCCATCCCCACCTAATGCCACAGATTGGCAGGGATTCACAGCCGGAGAAAGCCAGACAAAATCTCCTTAAAGATGATTACGTGGCTTCACTCAGCATTATAGAAGGTCACAGTGAGAACAGCAGAGAATAGAGGATTCACAGGAGAATCCCTCCAAGGTAGCAGCCTGACAAAAGCCAGGCCATCCATTTTCTGAGCCCTGGGATCTGTGCTTAGGTGTGGAGAAGGAAGAAGCCAAGGTTCATCAGCTAGGAGATGGTGTGGGCTCTGAGATTCGCCCCGAATCTTCTGGAGTCATCACAACTCATTGAAATTTTCATCTGTGCTGGTGACCTGGCCTTTATTCACAATCCTTCTTCATCCTCCTCCCTCCACCACGGAACTCTCGGGAGTACAGAATGACTCAAAGGCCCCACGAATGTCATGTTCTGTCACCCATGGGATCCCCCCATAGCTTCCCTAATTGGACACGAACCCCATTCTCCACATTTGTCACAATCCCATCCCCACCCGCCTGGGATGTAGGCACCTAGGTTCTACAAGGCTTGCCTTAGACACCCCTTCTCCATGCCTGCTTCACACTCATGCCAAGCCTGGCTTGGGGACTCCTCTGTGCCCCAGCACCTCCAGCCCTAGCACCCACTGAACAGCTGGGCATGCGGCTGTGACTCCCTCCCCATCAGCCCTCTGTTGGCAGGAGTCTATCTTGGCACCTACTTTGCTGCTGGCACAAATGCAGACTCACTTCAGGCTTGTGAGACTCAACCAATCATGTGGCCCTGGTCACCCATGGCAGGACCTCACAGCAGCCACGCCACGGGGCTGGGATGAAAAGCATCACCTGACAATAAATAGGAATTTAATTTGCTGGGAAGTGGGGTCCTGGGAAAACGCTGCTTGGGAACCAGTAGGCAAATGCCCAAGCAGCCTGCTACCCCGTGACTCTTCCTGAGGGTTGTTCTACCCCAGAAAAATCACCCCACCCCACTTCCAGGCTCCTCTTTCTGCACTGAGAACATGAAGCACCATAGCTGCCCAGCTTTCAGGTGGACTGGGATTCAGGGATGCCAGAGCTACCACTTGCTTCCAAAGGAAAGAAAGAAACCTTTGCCAAGGAATGGGAAACAGGTGAGTGCCCTAACAAAAGGTAAGAAAAAGGTATTCAGAGGGCCAAATGTGATGGTCAAGCTTGACAGTTCATTTTAATCAGCTTTGGGATTCACCTCGGGGATGGGAGGAGCTCACTTCTGGGTGTGTCTGTGTGGGTCACGGAGGTGTGTGTGGCCTTGGGGTCCGTGTCTGTTCTCTCACCCTTCTTCCCATGCCCTGCTCCCCTACTCTGCTTTCCATGCACCATGAGTTAAGCTCTTTCTTCTGCCCCTCCATTCCACTATGCTTTTTGCCTTACAGCCAGTTGTCCTTGCACTGAATTCCCTTAAAACTTGTGCCAATTTAAACCCCTCCTCTGGTGTTTAGCAATGCAAATGCTATTACAATTCCATCATTCTCTGTAACCCCGAAAGGATCCATGGCGTCACTAAGGAGGATGAAAACACAGTTCTCTCCATATTGTTTCTTGGAATACTGGAGCCTTCTTAAAATGCTGGTTTCAGAGAACAAAAATGTTCCCAATTTATGTGCTAAATGTGAAATAGGAAGAGAAAGACCTTCTATCAAGGCAGAAAGTAGATAGTTTAATGTAACACCAACCCCATTAGAAAAAGTGTATCTCTAAAGACAAGACCTCATGCTTGCTGCTGGGAATGCACTGATTGTGCCTTTAAAAAATAGTCTTCTGGTACAAGCATGATACGGTAAATATTGCTGATCTTTGATACAGACTTCAAAAGCAACAAGACTTGTATAGAAGAACCATAAAAAGATAGAAATCAAGGCTATTGTCATTCAGGAGAAAATATGAAGAATAACAATATTCACACTCCATGAATATTATCACATACTAACAGAGAACCAATAAATTCATACCTCAGGATAATGAAGTGTAAATGGATATGGTTTAAGAGACATCAGTGGCTCTTTTTCTTTTAACTTGGCTAATGGAAAGGGGATTTTATCTTACATTTACATAGATGAATAGTTGGAGAGACCAATTTGGAATTAAAACCAAGACACACAAAAAGAGTGACCCTCAGAGGAGAGAGTCCAAAGTGGATCGGATCTGTTGAATGTGTCAGGTTCAAGAAGTTTGGGGTCCCGGCTCCATTCTTGGGAGAATGATGGTGAACTCAAGGCCTCAAAAGTGCAGGAGTATTAATTATAAATCACTAACTACAGAGGTGTCCTGTTTTCAATCGTCTATCAGATACATCAAGGCCAGCCAAAGAGGAAACAGGACATTAGAAGGCAGCTTCTTAAAAGTGTAATTTCCTGAAAGAGAAATTTATGAGCGGTGCCTCTTCTCCTTTAGAGGATGTTGAGGTTCTTTTATTAGTTATTCATCAACACAGCCCTGGTTTCAGGCCAGCTCTGAGCACCGGCAGACCATCAGGCAGGGGCCCATCAGGAGGACTTGGCTCCAGGTCCTGCTGCGTCTTTCAGATCACAGCACAGTTAACAGAAGTAGTCATGGTGCATTCAGCTGGAGGAGGTTAGGGTTTCCCCAAAAGGCAATTCACAGAGTAAGCCCCAGGGGCTCCATGGATAAAAGTGAGCATCTGAAATGTACTTAGAAATGAAATGATTTTCTGTTGGTGGTACGAGCCTTGTGATTGCCTCTCAAAGAGCGTTGCTTCTCCTGCCTTTATGACCAAGTTCAATTTCTTATTTAGCGGTGTAATAAAGGGACAATTTAAGACATAGCAGCAAGGGTTTCCCAATCAATGAGCGAATCTATCCCTCCTCCGCTGTGTGTCTCTCTCCGGGACACTGGCTCGGTATCCAGGAATCGGCCGTGCATCCCAGAACTGTCCCTGCTTCCCCACAAGCATGACCTTGTCTCTCTTTTTGCCATACAGTTCCCTGCCCCACGGCAGAGATCAACCCAAGCCCGCTCTGGGCTTCCTCTCCACCTCCGGGTTAGCTCATTCTTCCTGTGTACAATAGAGCTAATTTTACTGCCCTGAAAGCAAACACACCTGATATTTACAGTGTGGCCTGGGGACTGGACAGAGGGAAGCCAGAAGAAAGAACATCTTACCTTGTTTTAAGGATATTCAGAAACTGCAAAATTTCTGAGAACTGTATCAGCCTGAGAGCTCTTAAAAATCTCAAACCTGCAAGGAGAAATGAAACAGATGCGTTATTTGCCACGCGAGGTGGTAGCGCTCAGGGTCGGTCGCCGGCCCATCCAAGTCACCGGGGCTGCCCAGGGTGGAGGCACAAGACCAGTCATTGGCCACCTTGCAGGTACTCCTTCATTCTGATTCTGGACCAAGTTCATGGGAGCCAGGGCACCGGCTTTCTCAGGAAAGGGGGTCAGCTTGGAATAAGTGAAGGGAAAGCCTGGCGGGCAGAGCCAGGTTGGCGGGGGCTTTCTTCTCTCCTAGTCAGCTCTGATTTAAGCACTCTTTCAAAATTACCCAGTGATCTAGCAGGATTTTGTCTCTGAAAAATACTAGGCATTGTGATCGCACCAGGCAACCTATGAACTGAAAGCAGATTAAGAACAAATCGGACAACCTTATGTCTTTGATGATATTTTTAAGCTTCAGTTTCATCCCCGATGAAAGGTATGACCTGCTGTGTTATATTTTTCTTCCAATCAAAAAAAAATATTCAGACCAGCAAGATCCCACTCCCCACAACCTCAGGATTCACATCATCTAAATGACTATACTTTTACGACTGTCAGGATCAATGTGTGTTTTCTAAATCTGCAGCTCTTCTTGAACAGGTCAGGTTTCTAGGCGGCAGAAGAGAGAGATACAGAAGGAAAGAACAAAGTTTTTGAAAGCACAAATGATTACTATGCGGTTTGTTTCAGTTTTTATTTATTTTTGTTAGCCCATATTTGCTGGACATAATGACTGCATTCCTTATGCGGAGCTGGTGCACACACAACACACATCTAATCCTCTTTAACTCTCTTTCCCTCCCCTCTCTCCCATTCCCTTCATCTCTTGGTTCCTTTCTCATTTGCAAAAGATCTGTATTTCCATTTCCTATCGTCTACCATTTCTTTTTGCTCTTTATACATATTTTGGGTTTCCCTTAAAGGAGAAACCATGCACTATTTAAACTCATGTGTCTGATTTATTTCATTTGACATTATGGTCTCAAAGTGCATTCATTTTCCTAGAGATGACTCAAGCTTATCCTTTTTTATGATTACGTAGTATTCTATGGTATGTAAGTCCCCCGTTCTCTTTAGCCTGTCATCCAAGGATGGACATATAGGCTGCTTCCAAGATTTAGGTGTTATGAATTGTACTGCTGTAAATATGGGTGTGCATACATCACTGTGACATGATATCTGTAACTCTTTCAGGAAGATACCTAGGAGGGGAATAGCTATGTCAACTAGAACGTCCTGTTTTAGTTTCTTGAGGAATAGCCACACTGATTTCCATAGTGTGCAACTACTTTGAAGTGTTTTAATATCCAAAAATAAATCCTATTGCTGTTGACACCAAAGTCATCAGCCCAAAACCTGAGTTGGTCCTAGAGTTGAACACTTTCACAATCACCCAGGAGAATAACTTACAACATGCTGGCTACCCCAGCTTGGAGATGCTCTGAACGTCATACCAAATCCCAAGGGGACAGTCTTTTGCGTATTTTACAAAGCATTTTATTAAGCACCTGAAGGGCCAGACATGAGGCTTAAGTGGAGGTGGACTAAAGGGACAGGCAGCTGCATGCCTGGGCAGAGGTTTGATTCCACTGCTTTATGGGAGGATCCCAAGAAAGCCCTGGTTACCTTTGGTTACTTTCTACTTGAGCAAAGAGTACCCTAACTGGCCCAGAGTAGAACTGCTCTGGTAAAATGGAAAAAATTAATGTAAAGCTTGGTGGAATGATGTGAGCACTGATAGTACAAGGAGAGAGCCAGAAAGTGGTAACGCCTCACGAGGAATATTTCTCATCTGCAAAGGAGTCACTGGGAGCAGAAGAGTTTTCTTTCTTCTTCTTTTAGAAAACATTCACCTTCTATGCTAAGTAATATTTATATAACTTTCACTAAGTCAGAAAAATACAGATGTGAGAATGGATGTTGATGAAATAAAAAAGGCTTGGGGGCCAGAAACACAATCCTCACCCAACTGATGAAAGGCTGGCTCAGCGCTGCAGAGGACAGAGCTGGAACACAGCACAGAACTGAGATGTCTTCTCAGGAAACAGAGGAAACAGGGAAACAGATGGAACTTGAGCAGACAGAGACGGAGTGCAGATCACAGAGAGCCAAACCACGAATACAATGAGTTCCGAAGGGAAGAACAGAAACACCTGGATCCTGAGCAAGGGCTGAGGCAGAAAAGAACTCCCTAGAAACAAAACTATGCCGTGAGATGAAAGGTGAACTGACAGGTCTGCTCTTGGAGGCCGATGCCAAGGAGTTTTCAACGTTTCATTCAAATTTTGAGCATTCAACAATAAAACAAAGCATGAAGATGGGCGGGTAGTATTTGCCAGTCACAGAGCAAAGATCATTTTATAAAATCTGTAAGCAGTTAGGTGATCAATAATGTGGTTTAGATCATAGACGACTCCCAAAGGCAGATCTAGTCAAGGTTAGGTCTCCAGCCTGAGATGCTGAGGGGACCTGAAGGGCCAGAGGTGTGGGGACCTGAGAAGGTGTGGCCTCCTTGAAGGGAAATAGACTCCTGGCTGGGCCATTTGGCACTTCCCAATCTTGCTCTTTTTTATTTCCCAGGCGCCGTGAAGGCAGCAGCTCCTCTGTACCCAGTGTCCCCTGTGTCACTGTGCTCTGTCTCTCCACAGGCCTAGAGCAAAGGCCCACGTGACCTTGCAGGGAAACCTCTGAAACTAACAGCCAATAGAAAGAAGCCTTTCTTCCCTCCTAACAGCCCTACTGAGCATGCTCAGCACCCAGCCTGACCCAGCACCTTGCAGCCCACCTCTGCTGCACATTGGTGTAGGTTAAAACAGTAAGTTTTGAACCATGAAAGATGGGCAGCATGGCAGCCACGAGGGGAAAGAGACTCATTGGTCTATAGTGACAGACTCCTGGTATTAGCTTGTCACGATTTGATGCTGAAAATCATGGGTGTGTGTGTGCACGCATGTGTGTACATGATCTTCCTGCCTCACTGACTGCTGAGACTATAGGGGTGCACCACCACGCACGGCATAAAGCATACACATTTTATGGAACCAAACATAGAATACAAATGGCCCAAACTTCAAACTGGGTCTTTCTCTTCCATCTATAAGTGACGGAATTCGCATGCCATCGCATCTGCTCCTTTGCAGCTGGCACAGGCTTGTCACTCACAAATACGCAGACAGTAAAACTTCTCTTTAAAGCTGCCCACAAAAATGAGGTTAGTCTCGCGGAGGTCACAGGCCCTGCGGCCTGGCTAGATGGGGACCTGCTGACCTCACCCTGAGCTCTGAGCATCTGCTGCCTAGAAACAAGCCGGGCACCAGCAAAAGGCAACAATCAGCAGAAAACAGGGATGCACACGGTTCTCAGGACAGTGGGTTCCCAGCAGGGACACCAGAGGAAAACATCTCACAGTTCACAGTTGCTCTCTGATGGCTTTCTGTTGCGGATGCCCTGGGGCCTCCACTCAAAATTCTGCACTACCCCATGCACACAGAAGAAAAAGTCAAGGTTCTGCAAGACCTCAAGTGACACCACTGCCTGCCACCAACATCATCTCACTTTACATTTGAGAGCTTCCTACAAGACCTCCACTACTTTCCTGATAGGGCTATCTTCCTTGGTAAGCCACACATCCACAGGGCCTTTGCACATGCCATAGTGTTCTCTCTCCCCAGAAGTACACTTGGCCACATGACACACTTCCTCATTTCCTTCCTCAGTGGGGCCTTCTCCATCCACACTATGTAAAACTACAACCTCACCCCACACTCCCTGAAACTATGCCTCTGGCCTGTTTTTAACACCTTCGCCATGAAGTACAGTATCTAATTTATGGTCTTTGCTTTCTACCTCCTTATGTGCAGCAGCAGTAGGCAAGGACTGGTGTCATGGCTGCCTTTCGGGTACCAACATACTGTGTGAAATGAGATAGATGCTTAGTTAATTCTTGTTTGAACTCAATGAATGAATCAGAGTTTTGAGAAACAATGATACGGCAAAGCGTTAAAGGTTACAGAATCTGCATCCAGAATTCTGAGACTGTCATACCTTACTGAGGGGAGTTCTGTGAAGCCACTGGGTCAAGGCTGACTCACTCAGGCAGTACACAGCCGGCTACACAGGGAAGACAGGAATGCACCCAGACATGCCTGGAACACCATGCCCAGCAACTCCCACTCCACACGGAGGCCAGGAAAAGGCAGAGGCAGGGAGGGAAACACCCACCTGAAAATTCACTCATCTTCTCTGCCTTGTAATACTTTCCCATGTTACTGACACCACAAAATCTCTGCAATGAGATTATTTTCTAAGAAACTGTAAAATTAGATCAGCATTACAAAAGAAGGGACTGCATATAATGTGTACCCCAAGCCATGAATCACACACAATCTTCTCCAAAGGCACAGGGCCCAGATGGTTTTATGAGTTCTTTACACTATCATGAAGCAGTGAACTTCTCTCTGTGTTCTCTATTACATAATCAAATAATTTTCTTAAAAAAAATACTTCTCATTGTTTTAATTGGTCTGTATTTGGTTAGAAAGTTGGCATTATCTGGACACGTAAACACACGTGCGTACACATGTGTGCACTTGGTATATATCTTTGTTACTGTTATTTTAAATGATTGTGAATTAATAAAGTTGACTGTGATGTAAATTTATTATTATTGATCATCTACTATTTTTTGGTTCCTTTCTATAGGACAAACATTCATCTTATTATATTCAGCAGAAGAAAATAGAGAAGGCAACCCTGTTGTTTTGGACCTGTAGTGGCATAGCTCATCACAGCAGGCAGGATGTGGGGAAGAAAACCTAGCCACCTCACAGCAGCCAGAAATCAGAGAGAGACAGAGAGAGAGCGGGAGACAGAGAGGGAGACAGAGAGAGAGAGGGAGAGAGAGAGAGAGACAGAGACAGAGACAGAGAGACAGACAGAGACAGAGAGACAGAGAAGGAGAGAGAGAGGGAGAGACAGAGA